ACACAAAATCCAATTATATTAATTGAATGGTTCATAGACTTCTACTTAACAAACATATCATTAAATGATTTTATGCATGCAGTTTCTTATAATTTATAGTTATAAGTTACTATGTTTTATATAGAAATACTGTAAATTATTTCTACTAATACAAATCATATTATTAAAATATAATACTATGTTAAAACAAAGAAATGTCCTACTTTATAATCAATCATGTACAATAGATAACCCTTATTTACATACTTGTTTCTTCTTATTTAATATTACACAATGATGAAACAAATCAAGCCATTTGGGTAGAGGCTAGATCACATAGAAGGTACTTCATATTATGTAAAATGCTTAATTTGGACAATAAATTACAATTTTTTAAGTTTAATTAATATATTTATTTTAAATAATTATCTTCGAATTAGTTTTAAACATAAATTAGTCATTATTGATATGACTTGTGTGAATTTAGGAATCTTCACATGAGTGTAAAACTAAAATATATATAATATATAAAATATGAGCAAAAATAAATGTATCCAAGTGCCTAATTAAATAATTACACTTAAAATGTGAATTGAGTAGATATAAGATATAATTGGGTGTATTTAGTTCAGCCTGTTTCAATAAACTCAATAATTATATATAGCACAATAACTACGAGTTATTTATAATATATTGTGATACGTGCAAATTCCATCTAACGTTATAACTTATAGCTTTAAATTTGGTCACTTAATAACGTATGCAGAAAGTGATATAAGCACCGTTACCTTTAAAAGAAAGTCGTGAATCACTCACATACATATCGTAAAGCTTTTTAACCGCGGCGATGATGAGAAAAAATAAAGTTTCTAAGCCCCCTACCTTGTAGACATCGCCATAGGTTCCCGAACCAATCCTTTGGACCAACTCGTATTCATCTTGTGGATTCCTCCTTGATATATCGGAACTTAAAACACCACCACTATGCGCCATAATCAATAGAAAACACTAATAAAACATTTATTTACACTTTCATCTCATTATTCACATAATTGTTTCACAAAAACGTCGACAATTTAATAATTTTTCAACACAAACTTGACATCACCCTCCTCATCTTACTGACGTATCGTCTGTCTGATTACGATTTTGACTTTTAGATTTGGGTTGGCCAAGTGTTAATGTCAATGTCAAGACAGAAATTACGTTTAAAACTATAGATAATTTTTACACCATAGACTATCTAATACGAAAATATGACAGGGTGGAGTTATTAGGAAATCGTCGATCTGCACCACATCATATAAATATAATACATTTTCTACAGTCTATCTGTTCTTAAATACATGACATTCACGGTGTACATCAATTTTACAAAAAATATGACACTTCCAAAATATAGATGTTTTCTTTACTACGGTGCTTTGTGAGTGTGGAAAGTCCGCCCGCATCCTTTCGAGTGGTCTCGCCTCTCCTCGCTGCCGTTCCGTATTAGCTATATAAACTTATTTCAATAGAAATAAAAACTGACAAGCTCTAAAATAAAATAAAATAAAATATGTTTATTATGGAACATAAGATACATGTATCACTTATTCCACGTCATTAAATTTGAAGGCATCCCTACTCATCGGCAAAGAAGACAGAGGGTGTAGGCCGAGAGAAAAAGCCGGCGTAAAAAACTCTCGGTACTCTTTTAAAACAACAAATCATCAAACAACACTTATTTAAAACAAATATCGCAAATTGATTAGAAGTAGCCTGTCTAGCACTAGTCCCAGGCCCTTTTATCAACTAGATAATCGTTGACTTTATAGTAAGCCTTTTTACACAGCTTTTCTTTAATACATTTCTTAAATTTATTGAAAGGCAGTGATAAAAGAGCCTCTGGGATTTTATTAAAGAAGAGTATCCCTTTCCTCAAAAAAGAATTACTAACTTTAGATAGTCTAGTACGGGGAAATTGCAGCCTGCGTTTGTTCCGTGTATTAACATTGTGCGTATGTTCTATTCTAGTAAACTTATCACTATTTTTGTATACATACATAATATTTTCATAAATATATTGCGAGGGAAAGGTAAGTATATTAATTTCCTTGAATTTATCTCTAAGAGATTCCTTACATTTTAAATTATAGATTGCACGAATAGCCCTCTTCTGCAGGATGAAAATAGTTTCGACATCAGCAGCATGACCCCATAATAATAAGCCATAAGTCATTAAGCTATGAAAGTAACTAAAATAAACAAGTCTAGCTGTATCGACATCAGTTAGTGAGCGAATTTTTTAACCGCGTAGGCTGCAGAACTAAGTCTCTTCGCCAATCCGTTAATATGAGGGGACCACTGAAGTTTTGAATCCATGGTGATTCCGAGAAATACAGTTGTATCATCCAGATTCAATTCCTCACCGTTTATAATTGGTCTAGTATCCATAACCCTTGCATTTTTTGCACAAAATTTAATGCATTTTGTCTTTTTTGCATTAAGTAGAAGGTTATTCATACTAAACCAATGGACAATCGAAGACAGAGCATTGTTCACATCGTCAAAATTTGTTATTTGTCGTTTGATTTTAAAAATCAAGGACGTGTCATCAGCAAACAAAACTATCTGATGTTTTCTCTCTACCATGAAAGGTAGATCATTTATATAAACAAGAAAGAGGAAAGGGCCAAGAATTGAGCCCTGTGGTACCCCCATGTCTACTGCCGACCCAGAGGACCTCTTACCATTCACTTCAACCTTCTGAGTTCTTCCGTGTAAATAGGAAGTCAGAAGATTCAGTGCGGTATTCTTGATGCCATAGTGGCGGAGTTTCCCGATTAAGGTCTCGTGTTGGACACAATCAAATGCTTTGGATAAGTCGCAGAAAACACCCAAAGCGTCATGCGACTCCTCCCAAGCCTTAACTATATATCTATATAACTCAACACCGGCATCGGCTGTCGAGCGACCCTTGGTAAAACCGAACTGATTATTATGTAATAATTTGTTTACGTTAAAATGACTTACCAGTTGATTTAATATAATTTTTTCAAATATTTTACTACAAGTAGGTAGTACGGAAATTGGTCTAAAGATTGGCTCTCGATAACTATTTAGAAATAGTTGATTACGGTACTTAAAAAAATCATATTTGATAAGTTAATATTTCAAACCTATACTCGTATTTTTTTACGAGAAAAACAAGAAACAGTAACTTGTTAATGTGGTTAGAATTCACGCTGCACTCTAGTCACTAGAGTGCAGCGTGACTAGAGTTTAGTGTATTAGAGTCTAGTATATTCTAACTAGAGTCTAGTGTATAATGGTAAATGCGAGGCTCAACTGCCATTAACAATAGAAGTGACAAGAAATTAAAGCATAGACAATTGTTAAAATGGTATATTTATTACAATCCAATATCTTTAGCCGGCACATTATTAAATTGCCGACTCTTCAATAACCTCTAACACTTTATAAAATTATATAATCTTTTTTTGGTTCAATCCATTTAAGTGCACTTCAAATGACAGCTTATTTCTTATCAAGCGTTTGGAAATTTAAAATTTCCGAAAAAATTGTATGTTATCAATTTGGTACGTTAAAACACGTTTCGTTTTCAATTTCACACATGAAATAACAAAGGGAAATGTATTCACAAAATTACGCAGTACAGTGTCCTCTAATGAAGGAAAGCTCTTTAAACATTAATGAATCAATATTGATAATTTTGAAAACTTTCAATACGTAGATAATACATTTCTAAACTCTAAATGGCGTACAACATTCCAGAACAATTTTATCGTTTGCCATGTGTCATCACGGAGGAGACAAATTACCGAACATTTGGTCTGTTGTCTTTTACGGCGACGCGGCAAACGATAAAACTGTCAAGTTTAAATCTTCAAAATTGAAACAGATATACTTCATTTGAATCACAAATTTTAAATAAGCTCTGAACACATTTAAATACGTTTTATGAACCATAACATACGAAATGATATGCCCATACTTTGAAGAAACGGCGTACATAAACAATCATTGTTTATATTTTATCGACTTTTGTACTAATCAAACGTATTTATTTACAATGAAAACAAACGTTTTTGGTAAAAGCGCTTACAACAAAAATTCATCTAAGAAAAAATATGTGGATTTGTGATAATTATTATAAGTGTACAAAACGTGTATTCGCTAGAAATAAACAATTTCAGCATACTTTGGCACTACCACCGTACACAAAATACATATGTATGGAAGTTACTGTAGGAACGGTTTTCTTAAAGAATTTCAAAAATATTCAAACGAGACGAGAAGCCAATAGAAAAAATTGATTCGGATACAATTGCTCAAGTAAATAATATACAAACGTGTTAAATACTAAATATTATGTCAAACGAATATATACAAACACAACGATATTTCAGAGATCTCGTAAATGATAGGAATTTTAAATTAATTTTCATAGTATTCCACCGAGAACTATCGCTGTAATACTATTAAAATTGAAACATCTTTCCAATACAACAGGGTAAAACACCGCTGAACAACACGAGAAACGGAAATATTAAAGAAACGAGAGAAGATAAAAGCGTCACGCAAACGAGTCAGTGTTGCCAGTTTATGTGTCCCTTACCCCGTTTTGCACAGACAGGGATATAAATAAAAATAACCAATTTAACTATTACGTGAAGTGCGCGATCACACATCGAATTCACCTAATACATTCCTTATACTAAATTTATTAATAATTGTCTAATCCGAAGATAAAATAACAATTAATGAATTAAAACTAGTGGTATTAAGGTATCTTAAAGTAATAGTAACATTAAATAAAAATTTAAAAACATTTGACCGTACGCAGAGTTAGAATAACTTAAACGTTTTAAATAAATAATTTTTAAACTAGAAAAGATGAGCGAGCGTCCTTTTTGCGTTGCTATTTTTAAGATTTTTTTGGAATTTTTTGAACGCGCTGTAATTCAATAGATCAATAAAGTCTGGATGAGAGATGATTAGGATAGGAACGAAAAATTTCACCTACGACTCGCCCGCGTGCGCTTCGTATTTTTAACTTTGCTAACTTTTTTTACGGATTTCGCGTTAAATTTGATACTTTTTGTGTTTCTATCGGATTTAATATTTTTAGCGTTCCTTTTCTTTCCTTTGGTTTTCCTACTCGCCACGGCGTCTTCCTGATCGTTGGAATCTATCGAAAGATTGGGTAGGACGCTTTTGACTTCGGACAGGGAGAGACTGATGGCCAGTCTCCTGAGCCTGGCTCTAGTCATCCGGACGTTATCTTCCTCCGCTTTGGGCGCATTTCTCTTGGCCTTGATAATTTTCCTATTCTCTTCGCTACTGTTTTTACTCTGTCGCCCGTTCTGTCCCTTCTCTCTGAGCACCGGCTTAGTTGTCTCTTCGTGCCGTCTCTTTCTGGTGACTCGTACTTTGTCGTTCTCGATAGATTCCTTGGTGCTCCTGGGTTTCTCTTCCGGAACTTTCTTGGGTCGGCCTCTCCCGCGTTTCTCTGGTGATTTGGCGTCGCTGCGTAACTCCATGCGTTCCTTTTTGGGCGTTTCGACTTTTCTCCGTTTCCTCGGGACGGGAGACTGCGACGTTTTCCTCCGAGTGCTCTTCGGGAAGGCGACCTCGGTTCCTTCCAGGCCCTGGCTGCTCTCGATGTAGATGTAGTCGTCGAGCTTGGACCGGGACTTGGCGTACGTCTTCTCAACGGGTTTGACTGAAGGTACTTCGTCGGTATCTCCGAAGGTGGGTTCCGCGGACTCGTCGACGGGAGTGTCCTGGGTGTTAGCCTTTATGAGTTCTACGTCGTTGTCTATGGAGTTTTTGTTCATTCTGTTTTTGAGATTGTTTATCGTTTCTATAAGCGAGTTCTCTCTCTGCTCTTCGGACTGTTGCGTGTCAGATGTGCTCGGATCGGAAGAACTGGATTTTCGTTGTTTATTTTTGTTCCGACGTTGGTACAGGTCCGCTTTAGTCATGTCCTGCAAAAGGCAAAAATATTAGGAATTGGTTAAAAAATTAACATACAAAATAAGAATAGATTATAAGCCTTTTCATTGGCTAGACATATGGAATAAGAAAAACTTCAGAATACCTAACATTAACTACAGTAAAATAATCTATCAAAATAAGTTTATAAAAATACTCACAGCCAATTTAAACCCTATGAATTCTTCTTCGTGATCAGTAATATCCAGTAACTGCAATAATTCTCCGCAAGTCATGCGGTCTTCTGCGCGTACGCACAATAAGCCGCGAACGGCGCGTGCGCTTGTTTCCGATATTGTGCTCCAAATACCACCTGAAATGAGAAAATATATTTATCGTGGTTCAACTATTTTTAGTATTGCATTTCTTATTGCAAATTGCAGCATCTAGATATATCAACTCACCTTCCATGGAGAAGGTTCCAGTTCGAATCCTGTCCATCAGAGACGTGACAGGTTCCTTGCGGGAAACGGGGGCGAAGGGGGCTTTGCCGCATAACATGCAGTACTGGACATAAACAATAGCAATTAATCTTCCAATAATATATTTGTTTTATACTCAACAATTGTACTATAGAAATATAAACACATTTTTTTTAAATCTATCAAATAATTAACTAAAGTCCTATTTAGGAACCTATACATACAAATATGAAAAATGAATGAAATACTTACAAAAATAACTCCCAGACTCCACATGTCGCACTCTGCGCCGTAGCCCGTGGCCGCACCCCTCGCGCACGACACCACTTCGGGGGCTGCGTAAGGCAAACTGGAAATTTCCAAGGATTCATATAATAACAGGACGAATGTTATACAACTCTCAATATAGTAGATATGTCGCAGGCTATCTTAATAAGCCATTCAATTAACAGCCTACCCTTTTAACTAAACGGTGCAGTTTAATTAGCGGCCTCAAAAATTATACAGCCGTACCGTTTGTTACAACATTTAATGCTTAGGCCATCCGTACGATAGTCATTATTTGGCAGAAATAAAAAAGATAAACATATGACATAAAAATATTTCTTTTAAAATTAAATAGCTTGAGTCAAATTCACATTATTATTGTCACTACAGTCTTCCTTTGTTCTTGTTGTTTTTCATGAAAATTTTGAAAACACCATCAAAGTTGTAGTTTGCCGACGCCATATTGTAGGCTATACAGGCTAGGCAAGTAATGAAGCGTCATCGATACAAGTTTTCTGCCTAGCTGTTTAATCAACTGGCTGAACATCTTTCAGGCCGCTAGTTAAACGGCGCCGGTTAGTTAAAAAGACAGAGACTGTTAATTGAACGGCTAATTAAGCTAGTTGGCTGCGAAACAACACACACAGTGTTACACAGTTACACAAAGTGTTTATAGTAGTAATTCCACTACCAATGGGGATCGGGTTAAATTAAGGTTGTCAATGTTTCGTCACTATTCTGTAACGCTGGCGTCAAAACAATTTAAAAAACTCATTTAAAATACATGGAAATAACAAATGAATATGCAAATTAAAGTTACTTTAATAAGTACGAAAATGTTTAAATATCAAAATACCTAAAGCAAGGAGTCATCATCCTCTGTCGTTCGTCGCAGTCGGGCAACCGTCGGGCGAAACCAAAGTCCACAACTTTCACCTTCGCTTCGCCGAGACGAGACGTCGACAATAATATATTCTGAAAAAATCACATTTATTAGACTTCATAATTAATTCGTACCAAAATAATATATTATAAAAATATCTTTTTTTCAAACAACACAAAAAACATCCATAGATTTGTGGAAAGGTTTTTTGAGAAAAAAATACATTATTAAATATTTTCTAACAAAACATCTAAAACCTTCATTAATCTCATTACATTTTACTGTACAGCTGTCTCTTTTCAACACAGCGTGAAGAAAATTTGACAGAAAGAGACCAAAGAGTTAACTTTAAAAGTGGTCACATGATAAAAAAAATTACCTCTGGCTTAATATCCCTGTGTACTACACGTCTCGAGTGCATATGTTTCACGGCCAATGCCAACTGAGCTAATAAACGTCGAGCGATCTTTTCACTAATTGAACCCAAATGTGATGCCAACTCTCCACCCGTTGCCAACTCTGTTACTATGTATGTGAAGGCCTGGAAATAATAAATAATTGTTAAAATCAAATATCAAACGCACATGTATGTAAATACGCTTAAACACTTATAATCTGATTTTTCATTCCGTAGAATTCTGACATTTCATAAGTGTCGCTACTAAAAAAGTTCTCCACCGAAAAAAGGACAAATTTGACCTATTCGAGGGCAATAAAATGAAATGCTACGTATTTTTATGAGTTACCTACAAAAAGGTAAATCTTAATATTTACTTACTCCAGTGACTTAATACAAAAATAACAAATATTTTAATATAGCGAAAAATATATCCAAGTAACTTTAATTAATTCATTTTAGTCTTCAGCTGGCATCACTACCTACTAATTCCAGGTTTAGTAAACCTTTTTAAGAAAGTAAAATGTTATCTTTACTTTTGCGTTTTTTTACTGTTTGTGATGAAAAGGGAAGTAATTATTAGTCGCCGTAAAACCACTTTTTATGTGGAGCAAGCTTAATAAAATGGACACATTCACTAACAAATAAAATGTATGTATAGAGTTAGATGTTTAGATTAGTATTGAAATTGAAAAATGGTCCCGGCCAAAAAGGTTTGTAATTTCCGACATGTCAAAAAATGATAGCTGTCAGAATTCTACGGAATTAAAAATCAGAGTATAAAAACAGATATTCGGGTTGGTAGGCACAGAAGGCTGTTGTTGCCTTTAAAAGTATTTAAAGGAATGCTGTTGTTGCACTTATAATAGCTTATCCAATAATAATTTATTACTTGGGAAGCTTTTATAAAAAATAATATTAATTTTAATATACCTACGTTATTCATCACAAGTATTTTATTTTGAGTAAAGTCGCTCTGAATATGTTTAAAAAATATCATAATTTGCGATCAAACAATCTAGTACCACGTACGCATTTTGGGTTTACAATTAAAACGGGTACTGTAAAGAAATTTGTAGTTTAGTGTTTTTTATAGAAAATTACTATAAAAGTTCAAAAATAATTTAAACTGTCTTTATAATAATGTAATAGCGGTTATAATAATGTATTGTAAACTTACCGAGTCCTGAAAAACCTCGTGCAATGCGATGATATAGGGCGATCCCTGACAGGCCTTCAGAAGTTCAATTTCTTGTTTGACATCTTTCTTCTGAGTTGAGATTATCTGTTGTAATTCATATGTAATAAATATTTTTATACATACTTTTATATATACATATAGATCATATACATTTCCAGTTTACGGCGAATGAAAATGTCCGTATGTTTTATACAGGACTCCCTAAATCTGGCAATGTTTCCTACATTTAGGATAACGCTTTTATCAATTTTCTATATATACAAGTGTCACGTTAACACTATAGCAGCAGTCTTTGATTTTCTTATTTGACGCTTACTAATTAATTACTTTTTTACAAATATTACCCACATTGTCTATGCTTAAAATAGAAATGCATTTTCGAGGATTCCTATAAAAATTTAATACGTTTATGTACGTATTATTATTATTTTTGAGAGCTTTGCTTACTTTTGCTGGCAAGAGGAGGGGGGGGGATTTTTTTCAGTAAATCTGCTTACGTAATGTTTCAACGGTCCCATGAATAGAACCATTTAGTTACCTTAACAGCGTACTCCTTAGCGGTCTGTCGATGAATGCATTTCCTACAAACTGCGTACGACCCATCTCCTAACAACGGTGTGCTCAAGTCAACGGCGTACTTTTGGAAGAACGGAGAGTCCTGAAAATATAATTACTAAGTATATTTTTGTATTTGTGTCTAAAAGAGAATTATTAAGGTCTATGACTCAATTCGATCCCCGGCAGTGCACCAAGGGACTTTCTTTCTATATGCGCATTTTACATTCGCTCGAACGGTGAAGGAAAACATCGTGAGGAAACCGGCTTGCCTTAAGACTCAAAAAGTCGAAGGCGTTTTAGGCACAGTAGGCTGATCACCTACTTGTCTATTAGACTGACAAATGCTTATGAAATAGATACAGAAATCTGAAGCCCATACCTAAAGAGGTTTTAGCGCCACTGATTTATTATTTTTTTCATTTCTACTATAGAATTACTTTCGTATTAGCCTATTACCAAAGCACTTCAGATCTGAATAGAATGTATTTCGTTTTGGAACCATAGACATGAAAGAAATTGTAAAATTATGATATGAATGACATTCTCATAGTCCCGATAGAATAACATGAGAAAATTAAAAGATGAAGTGACTTTTAAATACTCAACTAAAATATTTTATACTTTCCATCATATACGAAAAATAAATAAATTTATTTGTGAATGCGTACAAAATACATTCGTAAATAAAAAATAAATTTTAAATGACTTTTTAAATGTAAGAGAGTGAGAATAGACCGAATAGAATAGAGAAATACCTTGGCGACCCATCCTTTGAGTTTGTCATGTTTGGTGCCAGTTGCCTGCATCCATATTTGGTCTGATATCACGTTCTCAGAGAACAGTATACTTGGGGCCACGTACGAATAACCTATAACAAATATTATTAGTACAAAATATTTATTAAATATATTAATAGAAGCCTTTTATTCTTACTAGTAAGTTTCTTTAGTAGATATAATTAAAATTAATTAAAATAATAATTAGATGCTTCGAATGTTTTATAGAAATTATGGAGATATTTTTTTATATAGAACATGAGGCATACAGGCAGGAGGCTCATCTGATGTTAAGTGATACAGCCGCCCATGGACACTCAATGCCAGAGGGCTCGCAAGTGCCATGCCGTTCTTTTAAGAAATTGTACCCTCTTTTCTTGAAGAACCCAAAATCGAATTGGTTGGTGTTGATGGACTTGTCTGGAGAACTTTATATATCCTTACTTAATTATTTTTGGACCAAATCAAACATTCTTCCTGGTTCGCTAATACATTGGCTGTCAATAGAAAATTCTAGAACTAGTATAAGTGTAAACCAAAAGTTTGTGTGTAAACGTATACACAACTCACCTAAAAACAGTTTATCGTGATGTTTAGGCGCCTGCGCAGGCGAGTATGTGGGTCTCATTCTTGTGAATTCTCCCGCAAAGTTACTCGTGTCCGCTTCGTGGGACAATTGTGGGACAAATGGGGCTGGGATTTCGCGTCGGGCTGCTGCTTCCCAATCTAAAGTCTGAAATTAGTAAAAATTTTAATTTATAATTTTTTTATAAGTACTAGCACAAAGACTTAGCATGTCTTGTGACTTAGTTGCGATCAAAAAAACACTCTGTAAACATTATTTTTGAGTACATATTCCTAATAATAATTTTTTATAATAAAATAACTAGACTGGTATGATGTTGTTCCTGACGTACCTTAAAAAATGCGTGTCTTTTTAGTTCTTCCGCGTCTCTCTCGCCTCCGCCCAAGCGCCGTCGTGGATCCTTAACTAATAATCTGAAAGAATACCAATAAAATTTTCATTTCAAAAAGTAAAATATGAGCTAGCTGAGTTAGCTTAGTGTTTTTCCGACATCCATGACGCCTAAGCGCATTTTCAAACATTTTAAAAAAAAGCTTAGTGTTTCTATATGTTGTTATTCTAACTGCTCAAGGGCAAAATATTTATAATCCTTTATTTTCGAAGAGTCGAAATACATTAGTTTGAAATTAATTTTAAAGTAATAAACTCACTTTTTAATAAAGTCCTGGACCTCAGGACTGACGTCATTAGGCACCGGGTAGCTGCACTTGACTATTCTTTTGGTGATCTCCTGCTGTGTGTTCTTCTCTCCTTCTACTGTGAAGGGGGAGGCGCCAGTCAGCAGCTCATAGGTTAATACACCAACTGACCACCAGTCCACGGCCTGAAAATAATAATAATTGTTTTTATGATTGTACACTTATAAATACTAAATAAAAGGAACATTTTTATTTCTGTAAATTTTCTGACCAAAGCCGAAATACTTATAAATTATAAAAGAATGTGTATCGTTATAACTTATAATTATTATAATATATTATAACTTATATTATATTTATTATAAACTCTCGATATGACACGTGTTATAAAGCCGAACAGCCTTGATACAAATGTATTTACTTCCTGATTCATTTTTAAATATATTATGGTACAATCTAATTAAATATTAATAATTTAATTAATTAATCTGTTCCAGTAATAAATAAATACAGTCATCCTCCCTATAATGCGATCTCCATCCCCCATATAACGCGGTAATTTCCCCCTACAACGCGGAGATTGGTCAAGTTATATTCTTGTCGTCGTCTGTCGTGGGACAGTTATGATTTGTCAAAAGTCCATAATGAATTTTGGGTACCTTTGCACTTATTTCAATTGTGTTCTTAAAAAAATTAAGTAAATAACTTTATTAAATTCGTGTTCCTAGTTCCTTTTGAATAGTAAAAAAACGGTTTTACGAGAATACTACAACGCGTTTCCTACATCATGGGGATTACTGTACATCAAAATTGCTTTAATTCAGATGTCATAAAAGACGCTTTTAATTTTAAAGAAAACCTTCAAAACACATTAAATACTTAACTCAAAATCAACTAAAATTAGTATTCATATTGTTCATGTTAAGAAACAATAAAAATGAGCTATAATTGCAGGTAAATAAAGTTTAATTTACACAAAGATAATAATTTAGCCATGAACATGATAGCGGCGAGGCCAGGAACTTATTGAAGGTTATCCAATCCAATTGAAAATATACCTTAAGTTTCATTAGTAAGAGTTTAATTTCAACTGTTAATGGTATGTACTTGATCGATCATCGAAGGCAAGCATTTGCTGGCGGGGTTATAATTTTGATAACCACCAAATAAGATGATTAATGAAATTATAACTGCGAAGCGCACCAAAACATTTGGAAGTTGGGATCGAACTCCACATACTTCCTGGTGGTTCTCACCTATATAGGGTGTGCACAGAAAAATCTCTTATCAAAAAACGAAGGTCTGGCCGTCGTGGGCTCTTGCTCTAATATCAAAATATTGATATCATACATATGCCAGAGTTATTACAATGTTATAGAGTTGAGAATCGCTAGTTTTTCCGTATCCAGGTCGACCGTTACTCGATTTTTTGGCAAGTACAGCCCATAGTAACACATTTGCGGCTTGCGGATTTTAGTATGCTTTATAATCTATTTGGTATAAAGTTTATCTACAACTGTATACTAGCTAGCTATTTTTTTTAATATTATGCTGTTTCCTAACACAAATTATTCCGTAATACAAAGCTCACATGCAATAGAGCTTTCTACTACGAAATAAATATAAAATTTGTATACATAAAACACAATAAATGACTGGAAGGCAATCTTCAAAATCATTTACTAAATAAAGATAAATTGCTACAGATTTTTCAAGGGAAGGTCGATATGATAACATATTATAATATTGTATTGTTTAATATTAAGACGGAATAAGTATCTTAATACCAATTTTGTTTATCTTAGTATCAAACTTATCGAGCAGTCGAAATGTAGGTTCTAGTTTCGTTTTAGCAAAACAAATGTAACAACTTTAGGGGTACAATTTACAGCAACTTGCTGCTGAAGGAAAATAATATACCTAATATCCCCAATATCCCCGACTCTTGTGGTGCGGGACCCGACACACATTGTCCTGCATGATATTTCAAGCGATTCGAATATTAAACAAAGTATGAAAGCACTGACTGCAGCGCCCGGACTAATTTGTGAATCTAAACCATCCAGGGCGCCACCGTATACAAAAAAAATCATTCAAATCAGTCCAGCCGTTTAAGAAGAGTTCAGTGACATACACACGTACAGTAGAATTATATATATAAAGATATATATGTATTCATATTCATAGGCGAGTGGGGGCCCGTCGTCTCGCCTCCGCTACGCTCTTGTTGCAGCGAGTGACGCATTACACTATCTTACTGCAGAAATCTTCCACTTGCTTCTTAAACTTTCGGGTAAATGTTCTTTAAAGGGCTGTAGCATTTTTTAAGTAATAGGAGGCAAACGGGCAGGTGCCTCACCTGATGTTAAGTGATACCGCCGCCCAAGGACACTCACATTGCCAGAAGGCTCTCAAATGCGTTGCCGGCCTTTCAAGAATTGGTACGCTCTTTTCTTAAAGGAGCATTTAAAGGTAATAGTATACACAATCAAATCCGCGTTTAAACCTATCACAATATCAAATCTAGAATATTAAAACTGACCTAAAACTAAGTGTAATACCGGCCGGTCGAAACCGGATAGTAACGGTACGAGTATTGCGATGAGGCCTCGCTGTGGCAAATTAACTGAGAACAGTATTATTTATATCTAAAATTACTCCTTTATTTCGTAATAGGAAGCCGACTGTATATGTCGTTTGAATTATGAATATTTACTATTAGCTGAATATATTCAGGTTTCATTTATATTTTTCATAGTAGATAGGTTTCGCGTTTTGCTGATAAGCGCCGAAGATGGTTTGCTATGTTTTTTTTTATTTAAAAGGGGGCAAAATTCCTCATGTTAATTGATACCGCGCGCCCATGGACACTCACATTGCCTGCCAGATTACGGTAACGTTAACACTGAGTGTTTAAGTAACACTTAGGACGCTTAAGGCTAGTATTAAATATCGGTGCGACGTAAATTCCGGGCTATTTACGGTAAATTTGTCGAATCATGACTACACCTTAAAACAGCTCCAATTTTTTTTCTACGTATTTACATCACTCGGCAATGGTGTGGTACAATAATGTGGTGGCGCATGCTTTTTAACTCCAAAGAAATTAATTAAAACATCATGATTTGTGAAATGAATTAGAAGAATTTAAATTTTTTTCGCTTTAACTTAATCTAATATGATCACAAACGCCACTTAGAATAAAAAAATTAAAAAAACCTAACGTAATGTAATTGGGAACTGAGAACTGAGACAGTATAGTTTTTAAAAAAAATTTAAGGGTTTCCTCCTTAATATTATTTGAGGTACAAGTCGTAAAGAACGATAGAAAGAAATTATTCATAAATAGTATATGCCGAAAGTTGACCGAATGTATGACTATGAAAGCAAAACTTACATGTCTTATGTAGTTTTGCACTTCTTGTGCTCACCTTATCTTATTTTTAAAAAAATCTCACAGTGGTTCTAAGAGATCGCTCAAAAGCGACAAGGTCGCCAGTTGCCCTCCTTTTTATTTAATTATTCTAATTGTACTATATTTCTGTATACTTGCAAAGTGTTAAAAAATAAATAAAACTACACAGTAAAAAAATCTGTAATCACAAATTGTGTCAAAATCGAAATAACCTTTCGAAATTTGAAAGGCAAAAGAAAACTCATTTTATTAACAATCGATTGATCGATTGAAACGCGACAATGAATTGACTTGAGCAATCTTTAATCGAGACGTTACCTAAGAGTAAGTCACGATATCAATCATAATCGAATATTTTATAGAAGGTGACCCACGGTTAAGCAAGGTAGGATTAACCAGTTACGTTTTAAGGTAAAAGTTTTCTCAGATTAAACATCCACGTTTATTAACGTTACATATAACGTATTAAAATGCCAATTATGTTGGACAGCCGTGTTGGCCTAGTGGCTGCAGCGTGCGACTCTCATCCCTGAGGTCGAAGATTCGATCCCCGGCTGTACACCAATGGAATTTCTTTCAATGTGCATTTACCATTCGCTCGAACAGTAAAGGAAAACATCGTGAGGAAACGGGCTTGCCTTAGACTCAAAAAGTCGACTGTGTGTGTTCGGCCCAGAAAGGCTGATCATCTAGTTGCTTTTTAGATTGATAAATGTAACAGATACAAAACTCTCAGATATGAGGCCAAGATCTAAAAAGGTTGTAGCACTTATATATTTATTATGCTAGACAGTGTTATTGATAAATAATAAAAATTACTAACAAAGTCTTAATTTTCTTCTAAATCTTCAAGATGTAAGGGTACCACCGCAGATGCAGCTAAAATGACATAACAATATCAAGTTCAGGGCTGGTTCCAACAGCGCGGACCCGTCCCACTGACCCCCTTTCCGCGGCCTCGGTACAAACTGGCACGTTTAACCTATCCATACTATATTATCAACCTTATTGTAACGTAATTGGGGTCACAATCGCGTGTTTCGGTGTTGTAAGTAGGATGGATTCTTTTAAAGATTTAAATGAATAATCAAGTGGGTTACATACGTGTAAAGGTGAAGTACAAATGTATGTTAATTTTCTTTGCAATATTGTATCCTAAGACTGTGATTCGTTGATCTATGTTAAAGTTTTTTTTTTATACGAAAAATTGTCTATGACCTAATCGATGCTTTCTTGTTCCCTAGAACAGGCATATACGGGCTTATGTTTGCAAGCAGTAAAGAACGAAAAGAGCAACTGTATAAATATAACCAACCAATATTGTAATCAACCCCAACTAAAAATAACGAATTTTCCAAAGACATTCTCTAGTTCAAGCAATAATTTGATATTCCATTACAACAAAATCAAATGAACATGGATTAAAGCATCTAGTACTTATAAACGATATAAATTTATACCATTCGACCTACTCGTCGCGAGCCGACTGAAATAGCCGCGCCTACATAACTTCGCCATGTCATTTACAACATTTTAAAACACGTAATGAATGTAATTATTACAATCGAATTTGAGAAAGGACAGAAAAGAGCCAATGTATTGTAAAAATTTGGAGCCGTGATTCCACAAATTTACCAATATTATATTATATGAAACAAATTATACCAATATTAAACAGAGAAAATCGTTTTTAGGTAGTTAGGAAAATGAAAATGAAAAAGTTGCACTCGCGGAAAGGTAAGGTATGTCACGGGTAGAAGACACAGAAAA